TATTCTTTCTTCCGACTTGCTCTTGATGAAATTTCCTTCGACTCCGATGCTGAAGAGGATGACCTTTTATTCGACGATGTCGATGCTGATACCGATGAGGGCTATAAGGGCTTTTTCTGAAGTGACTCCGTTTAAGTGTTTTCATTTAGTTAGTCAGCACTTCGTTCTTGTCTTCAGGCATTTGACCATTACTGTATAATAAGTAAAAGTTAAAGTACTTAAAAAAATCGGGTTTCAAACTAGAAAAAAACTTGTTCCATAGCACGTCCTGCTTTAGCTGAGCTACTGCTACATAATATTAAACTCTCTTAAAATATCAAAATATGTGGAAAATATTGGCCATATCGTAATTGAAATCTATTTAATTATTGCGCCATTGTAAAGCATGTGGAAAACACTACTATGTTGCGGCTTAATTCGAAGTTTTATAGCTTTAAAAGTAGAAATGAGCACGAATGTGAAGCTGTTGACATAAGCACCAACAGTACCAATGAGAACCAGGTGCCTTAGCTTTCTGATGAACCAGCAACATTTACATCGTTTCTTCAAGGAATTCTAGCTATCCACTGGGACTCCAAACCTCATTGTCAGTGAAAAATCCTTTCGGCGTCAGTGGTCACTGATTTCTGCATTGCTTTGAATTCAAAAGTTGTACTACGTATGGCAAACCGCGTGTGGTGCAATGGTTGGAGGCGCCACTGCGACGCACACGTGGAATCGATACCCGCGCCTATGGCCACCAAGCCTCCCACCCCTCCGGAGTCTGCAAATTGGCACCAGATTTGTCTTGGAGTATAGCAGCACTGGCTGGATTTATCGGTAGGCCACCACGAGTCATCGTCACCTCCAGCAATGCTTAATGACGTTGAGCGCATGGCGCATCCTTCATGGATTGATCAACGCCGAGAGCTTCATCCTTTTTATCCTTTATGGCAAACCAGTCCACGTTCTCTAATTTAAAACATGGCGAATGCGGAAAACGAATTAATGGAAAAGTTCCATGGGACCGAAAACAATATGGGATACATTTGGCACCTTCAGAAAAGCCGGTAACTTGCTAACTACCCTACCCCAGCTATGCACTGGGCGCTCACCTCAACCACGCCACCAAACTAACGAACGTCGAAAGCACAACGTAGCTGCAAATGTAGACTCAAAAGAGATAAATTCATTTTCTGGACGGACATATTTGTAGCTCGTATCATGAACTGTACCCGGAAGCTGATGTGTGCTAGGAATGGGACACGTCTATAGAGAATGGTTGCGGTTGAAGGAAACTAGTGGAGATTGTGCTGTAACCTACACGATTCGTTAAATCAAGCCAGTATCTGGCATTTAGACAAGAGTTTATGGGTTTCTTTATTGTTTATTAATGTTTCCGGTGCCGAGGAGGTGAATGCGGTCGTACTTTCCAGATAAGACTAAGAGTTTCTCGATCAGCATGTAAAATCTCCACATTGCTCATAGGGTCAACTCTTTGAACCGACTCATTACAAAGCTCTAGTTCGACTAGAATGTTTTTCCCAAAGCAGGCCTCTTTTTGAGCCTTCGGTTAAGTCTTCTGAAAACCTCATTGCACTTAAAAAAGATTAACCTAATGTCCACAGACTGCATCGAAACCTTCAATTCTACAGAGGAGCGTCGCGACGACACGCAGCAAAACGGAAATCTCAGTTAACAAACTAGGAAACGAGACCAATTTTAGTGCGCACGAGAAATGAAGCTTAATTATTGTGCCATCTGTAAGCGGTCCCCCAACTAATATCAGTATTCACTGCCGCCACGTAATCGCCTTCGTATTAGTAGAAACCGACGACAATGCAGTTAAGGTGCAGGAAGGCGGGCACGTCGTGCCCACACAGACGATGCACGAACACTTTGAACTTATAGGAAAAATCGTGCCTGACTAGCGTTATCAGTTAACAGAAAAGAAGTCTTAAAATCCTCAAGTTGTAGCTGAACTAGGATACGAATCTGAGAAGCTTTGTGAACATCTATTGGAAGACAACGAGATGAATGGAAGCAGTAGGTTTTTCATGACGTGGGAAAAGAGGACTCTAAGTCAAATTTAGTGGTTAGAGCTGAAGACATCGATGATGAAGGCGGAAAACCATTCTTTTGCTTCATACTACTATATAAATGCGATTTATTTGCAAATCTTATAAATCAAAGTTAAACCCACAGGCTGTGGCAAATAGAAAGGCTACTACACAACTCGAGGAAATATAGTTCGTTGACCACTGGGACATCATTCATCATTAGTTATCTGAAGCATCACATGACAGCGACGACACATAGACGACTCAATTCTGATTAAGCAAATGGAACGGAGATCGTCCGCCTACCTAAGCTCAATGTTTTCCAACTACTAACAAATAGAAATGGGTCGTAGTCAAACAAGTTTCAAACTATCATGTGTGATAAACGATGTTAGCACTCACCGGGATGGTCTCGAATAACGTATTTTCGCCTTTCTATATTCATGATTGTCCTACTATCACGCCGAACGTGAAGGGGGATTTTGTAATGGGTCTGTAATCCTACTTCTGTCAATCAAGAGCTTGCTAATATAGCCACGATAATGCTGAGGTATTTGCAAAACTCCCGACCGCAGGTGTCTGCTGGGGAATCGAACGCATTATTACCCTTTCAGGAGTCTAACGCGTTCACCAACCACTCCATGCGGGTTCATCGTTTCGCTTGTCTCTCAACTGATTCAATCAATTTGTTTCAAAACTACTTCTGAAACAGCCATTCTCTGAGCTAACGTTGCGATTACACTTCCATGAGAAGTGGGCAATTAGTATGGTGGATATCAATCAATTGATCAATATCACAAGGCAGCTTATTATACCATATTACATCATCAGTGTCGTCACTTTTACAAATATCTCAGCATCATTGTGATTGTATCACACATAATACCCTGCCGTGAAAAATTCTAATAAGCAGTAAATAATAAGTCAAAATTGTGATTTCGCTTTCTATTACATTTGTATGAAAATGTGAGCTTTTAAGTTGATGAAACCTGGAGAAGCGATTTTAACTTTTGACTTCTGTTTAAAGTAAGACAGGTTTTGTACTGTGGCTCAGGTAGAATTTCTATCTTTAACTCCCTCAGCATCTGAACGAAAAAGCGCGGAAAGTGTGATATGACGTTTTTTAGGGTAGTGAAAGGCTCTATGAGGCCCTTGATCAATTTGAAGCGAATTTCATGTCATTTGCTGCACTTCATTTTTTCAAGTTAAGTAGTTTCTTAAGTTGCGGCTGTCATGAGACTTTCAACTTGTTGAAAAATAGAAAAGACATTTTTGTGAAGGCAGTAGAGATCAGCCATTGCTTTCTTGTGACACAACGTCTTACAGTGAAAGAACTCCACTGAAAAAGAGACCAATAGAAATTGACCTTTCACAAGGAGTCATTTTCTACTTCTATGATCATTCGCATTTTCATGTTTGCACCTTGCTTAATAAAACGATCATAACATTGAGTAATATCCAATGTATACACCCACGCTCTGTCACAGTTCTTATGTTGAAGTTATTACATAGTCCTCGTACGCAATCTTTACGCATTTCTGTGTCCTCTACGTTATTGTTGCTTCATTTTCTGCGTGTAAAATTCGGTTTCCCAAGTTTAAGGTTTTTCTTTGTGGAGACACAAATTACAAATCTCGCCTGACAGAGCACAACATTCTCAATCCCATTTTTGCTTTCCATTGTGTCATTCATACGGTATCCATTTCGCCGGCGTTATTAGCTTTCCAAAACACAAGAACTGTCCCTAAGCTGTTTTCCTCTATTTCCGCATATCTTTCCTATTCTCGACATCTTTAGGATTGGCTTCTCAATCATACACTAACAGAAGCCCATATTTTACCCTTCGGACATGAGCACCTTTTTTTGTCTCAAGTGCTTAAATCAGACTTGATTCAATTTAAAAACACAATTTTTTGGTAAAAGCACAGAGGAAGATGTGTGATTTAGCACATTGCACTCGATATATAATTTACACAGTGCATTTACTGCGAAAACAGTGCTCGTATTCCAGTTTAAGGCAACATATCCGCGATCGTATTTAACCTTATCAACAGCAATAAAACACTTCGAATCTCCACAATTTTTTTGACTACAAGATACACGTTGTCTTATCTTTATTTTCTAGTTTACACGACCTCTCACATTTGCTGTGCAATTCTAGTAATTCTTGCATCCGATTCTTTTCCTGGCATTCATCACCCACAATGGTCTTTGCATTTTTTGAGTGTGTTCAGCCACTGCTTAAAAATTTTCCTTCTGTTACGTCTGTCGTTAAATGCTGGGATTCTCTGTGGAGCCCTGAGACAGTAGCGCTAGATCGTTGATACTTGGATTACAGAGTGTGGACTTATCCCAAAAAGTCTGGTAGCGAATTATTGACCCCCACAAAGACGAGATACTCGGTGCGCTAGGACGCGGTCGAACCGGTACCGTGCTCTTGATAACCAGCATCACTGCCACTGTGTTGTCCACCCCTCTCTTATTTTGCCGCTATGAAATTCTGATTTTCTGAGCTCCATTTCACTTACCACTTCCACATTTTTCCATCAAGGCGCTTATCTTGAATACGGCAGCAAATGCAAAAATTGGATTTCGCGAGGGCAGAACACGATTATACTCCAAAAAGTATCCTTGGTGTCTGCAGCTGCCTTTTTGCATTGGAAATCTTAAAAATGTTACCTGCATTCTCAAATTTTTAGAAATCCAAATTCTAAACTTGCTAAAACAAAGAAAAACATGCGGACGATTAAGACCATAGGGCACCTTTTCTGCGCTACGTAAAAAAATGATAAAGATTGTGAGAACCAATAATGAAACTCTATTTACAGACGAAACGTTAACGTCCGAAAAACAAAACAAAACAGAACAAAACGTCTTTTCCGGGTGCTGCCGAAAACTCGGTGAGTTTCGAAATAGCGCAATGGTGATCGGGCACACCTAGAATCTCCTGCTTGAGGTCGCTCAAGTGAGAGGTTGTGTGGTCAGCGTAGCCGACAAAGGATCAACAGCAAAACCACTTGGAGTGCGACTACTTGGGACGAGAGCTTTCTTCAGCTGCCTCTCCCACCTCGCTGGCACCACTAACTCGATCACACCACGACGGATGGAGTGGTTCACAATGAGATAGATGATGCAAACCAAACCTGAAAACGGAAAAAGCTTGGAGATATCTGAGAAAACACTCAGAGTTTACCTACCTGCGCTAAGTTGCCAAGCAGTTTGTCCAACAATAACCAAAAATTTAGATGGAGCGAAGTACTGCATGTAAACATAAATATATGCAGCCACTACATTAGTAAGACATATAAGAAAAGATTGAATGAAGACCTATATGAAATATTACAATGAAGAGGAATACCAGTGTATTCAGATTTCACAACACGAAGGTTCGTCATTATAACAAAAGCTTATTCAAGGAAAAGAATGCTTGGTTTTGAACAATTAACAACTGTAACACTCTCACGACCGACTTTCTATTAACCACGGCATTGGTTGAACAATTTTTTATATTTATGTTTAGCAAACACGAGGTGTTATTTCATTTCTTTTTCTGCATGCAAGCTGACATTTCGGCCGATTTCGCCTTGCTCAGAGCCTGCAAAGGTTAAGCTGACAGCAATCTACCCCGCCAAACACCTCCATAACCAAACAAAGAAAACGCTAAACCAAGATTTCAATCACATTGAACACAGCTCTGCACACTCACTGCTTTCTATCAGTCTTCCACTGAGTACGCCACGTGGAGACCAACAGCACGGAATGCACATGGAACCGTAATGTGCCCATCCCATCAAAATAACAGGCTTATATACTGCCCAATATCATTCGTGACGATGAGGCATTCCGTCTTGCCGTTCTTTTTCGGATTTCTGGAATTAATCCAAAAAGCCTTAAGAGTTTTGCACGCTTGTGTTCTCGATTTCTGTGCGAGGATCGTAAGGTACTTCGAAGTCCTCCCCGTTATGTCTCTACGTCCTATGCGTGCCTGGTGCGGTATTTGGTTTACATTTGCCGACTAGGTGTTCTTTTATGCAGACACAGAGGGGTTTGCCCGTTTCACCAATGTATTCGTCTCCGCACGCCTTACAGGAGATCAGGTAAACTGTACCCGAATTCATGCAATCACCGTCCCTATCATAAGAAAAATTATGCAATTTTGCGTTGCACATAGACGGCCATATAGGCGGTTACTAACTAGATGGCGCTTAAGAGTACTCGGTGGCATTTCAACTACGTTTGGCGAATTCTCTAGACCAGGTTTTCTTAAGCAGCGTTTTGGAGCTGCACTTACATCATTTGAGATGAACGATAGGATAAGCGAGACCTTTTTATCGCTAGAGTTGTCGTTTGGCGGCCTCCGACCTATCCCGAACTACAGTTTCGTAGCCGTTAGAAATGGTTATTTGCCGCGCCAAGTTTCGAGACATCCCTCTTTGCTCTCTTCCAGTGCACACGTTAGTTGCTGTTCCAAACATATTTCTTACAAGAGCCGTTTTTGTGCGTAAAGAGTAAGAAGAGAGGTAATGAACAAGTATGTTTTTGTTACTTGGCTTTCGGTACCACTCCGTAAGGAAGCCGTTTTCTGATAGGTTGATTTGCACGTTCGGAAATGGAAGCCAATTTTTTCTCGGTTTTTCTCGGGTGAACTTAATATACTCTGAGTGTTCATTTAGTAACTCAAAACATTTGTCCATTTCTTATTGTGTTGAGCAAATGGCAAAACAGTCGTCTATATACCTACAGCAGAGTAATAGCCGGAGATCGGTTACTGGTGCTCCTTCCAGACATAAATGCGATGGCAAGGCTTAGCGCCAGTCGTTGTTCCATTGCCAACCCTCTCATTTGTACGTAATACTTCCCGGACTATCTGAAGATTGAGCAGTTTAGGCACTCCTTTAAGAGTGTCATCAACTGCTGAACCGTGAAGCCATAGATGTTTATTTCTCCGTATTGTATAAGGAGTTCGAGTATGGCTTGCACAGCGGAGTCATTCGACACGTTTGTACAAAAGGTGGTAACGTCGAAGGACTCCATCACGTAAGCGCTGTTAGGTCGCGCGTTACGTAGCCGATCCAGGAACATCTGGGTGTTCGTTAGATGAGCTGGAATGTACTTCGTACTCTTGAGGCTTTCTGGATTAATTCCAAAAATCCGAAAATAAACCGCAGGAAAGAATATCTCATTATCAAAAATGATATTGGGCGGTATATAAGCTTGTTATTCTGATGGGGTAGGCACATTACGCTCCTATGTGAAATCTGTGCGGTTGGTCTCCGCGTGATATGTCTAGTGGAAGACTCATGGAAATCGGTGAGTATGCAAGGACTCTGTGTTTAATGTGATTGAAATTTGGTGTAGCGTTTTCTCCGTTTAGTTATGAAGGTGTTTGGCGAGGTAAATTGCTGTCAACTTGAGCTTTCCATGCTCTGAGGAAGACAGAATCCGCCGAAACGTCAGCTTGCATGCAAATAAAGATATAAGATGTAACTAACATTGTTTTTCATTTCATTCTTGCTTACTTGATACTTGAATAGCCTGTCCCTGCTGATTGTGCGGGTTCCAGCTTAATATCCATTTTTCGGAGATTTGTTGGCTAAACCATTATGGTTCCCTGGAGTTCCGAGGACGGCCTAGCCAAATTCTTCCCCAGGTCTTCACCACCACGGGCAGTCGCAGGCTTTGTGGACCAGAGGAAGATTTACCATCATGCCACTTTGATACTAGAACGGTGGTAAATCCTGGCATTAGTTTACTCTTAGCTAGGCTTCCTGATAGGAACGCCGGACTCCTTCTCAGCTTGGGGGACCCTGCCAGGGGATGAATACCCAGCTGTACATCGCAGTCCGACACCCAGGAACACCTCCCAGCCACGGGGAGGCGGTAAACGGTTGGGAGGTTTATTTCAACCCCTCAGTCAAAAATCGAAATCAGCTAGCTAATCTTATGTTCGAATACAAAAGAGCTCATGGCAGACTACTCTGGCCTGTGCTGAAATCGGTAAGATTCGTACCTGCTTCTGGAATCTACCAAGTTTACTAGTTGCGGCCCTCGACTTCAGATGTAATTTTACACATAGGTAAGCATATAAAAGTGTGGTTGTTATCGAGACAATGACATTATTAATGGCATGGTAGACGTTGATGTAGTTAACTGGCTAAAATAACGTATTGATTCAAATCCGCTCATAAATGAAGTCGTCCAATGACATTACGAAGTTCCTATGCGACGGAACACCGAAAGATTTATCGTTTTCACTTAAATGCTTGAGAATATTTACTATTGTGCCCATTTCGGGCTACAAAAAGTTCTGTCACTAGAGAGGTGCGACTTCTAGTGATCACTTACCTCGTGCCCAATCATAGGATTAAAAAACCAGGACACATAGTTCGAGTTGAATGACGCAGGTGTAGTAAGAAACATGATGAACAATAGGTAGAGAACTGTGATAAACATCAGAAAATATACACGATATCCCTCAAAAATCATCTTCAAAAAACGATTTTCTGAAAAATCGGCACATCTGCTGAGAGCTAGAAGTATGCATGTCATGCAGCAAGCGCACCAACAACCTGAAAAACATTTAGAAGTCTCCGTGTCGTCTCTTTGGACGTAAAGATCAGGTACTGTTTCGAAAATTCCTACCAGCCACGTATAAATGCTGCGTAGAATTTTATTCGCGATGAAAGCACCAACCTCCTAATTTAGTAAATAATAGTTATCAACACTCGCATAACCCTTAATTGGTTAACAAAAATCATTCGGTCGGAAGCTACGCGGTAAAGAAAAACAATCTTTTCTTTACGAAAATGGACTGGTGTGCTCAAATCGACCCAGTTTTCAAACGCATATCTTTATAGAATGCTCAACGCTTGAGACCTAGCAGAATACATTCCAAAATTAAGCATCGATGGTTCGACCATGTAATATGAACTAGCGAGGACAGGTGGACGAAGACAAGATTAGAGTGGATCATGCGAGAGCCGAAACGATCTCAAGAGGAACCTACATTCTTAATCTTTCTGCTTTTCAATCCAGAGCAGAATTTACAAGAAATGAAATTCTGCGACCTGTGTAACACGTAAAAACAGATCTAAGTGTCTAAGCAAGCAATACGCTCATTTAATAAATGCGAACTCAAAATCGCAAAGCAATTAAGAAGCTTTTCGCAAATAGTTTTGATGTGATGTCTTATTTTCCACAGTATTTCCGGTGTTGTGGCAATAGAGCTCCGAACTTAACTAGCTTTTTTTTGACAGGTTAGAACTTGAAAACTATTAAAACACAACGTTGCTGAGATATTTGCAAAACTCTGGACCGCAGGTGTCTATGTTGGGGAACGAACGCGCTATTGTCCTTTCCGGGGAGTAACGCGTTCACCGCCACACCATCCGGGTCCTTCGTTTTGCCTGTCTCTCAGCTATTTCTATCGATCTTTTTGCCATAGCAATCACCCGTCAGCGGGATTGATCCCCGGAAAGGACAATAGCGCGTTCGTTCCCCACCATAGACACCTGCGGTCCAGAGTTTTGCAAATATCTCAGCAACGTTATGGTTGTATTTCGCTTAGTACCCTACCGCGAAATTATAGTAGGCAGAAAATAAAAAGGTATAACTATTAAGACAGTTACGTCTGGCAATATACTCACTTTATGTGAGCTATTAAGTGCCAAAGAAAAAATGCCGTACAAGCATTACCCGTTGATGGGTGGTTACTGATAGCAGTTATACTGGAGCAAAAAAAACTGCTGAGAAAAACGTAAACTAAGGGATTGGTCGGAATGATGCATAACACATGAGCCCCCAGAAAAGGTATTCTCGTGTTCGAAGCGAATCTGAGGTTCCGAATTTTGTTTACAACTAAAATAGCTATGCAGACTTCGTACCCTAATCTCTTCAGAAGGCATAGTCATGTGTAGAATGCAATAGAACCCATGTCATACTTTAACCATGGAAACGTAAATAGTTAACCGCTTCCTTCCTGTGAACTGCTCTGCTCTCCACTGTGTTCACGAAAAGTTGGAGCTGTACTATCTGCGCGCTTAGTGACCCATAAAATACGTTGGTTAACGGCTCACATTCAGCCGTTAGGGTTAACACGCTCTCAACGACTCCTATTTTTCGCCACGTGCGGTGGGCATTGTGCTCAGTACGCAGTGTCCACAACACATACAGAAAAATATCGCGTCGGTTTAACGTGTCTTTTTGTCCTCTGGTTAATTTTTTAATATATTTCACTCAACTCCATGTTTTTCATATTCTACGTGTCCTTATTGTTTTTCTGCGTATTTCATGGATACTCTTTGAAACACTTATAATTTTTGTGAGATGGAAAAAAAAAGTTCGTCAGTCATTGAGCTACGGTACTGCCGGCCTTGACAGTTGGTGTTGCAACTTATGTTCTTTGCATTCCAAAATTTTGTAATGTTTTATAAAAACGTCGTCTTTTTCGACCCTCCTAATGGTTTACCGCCTTATCGTCGCCGAGAGGTGTTTCGGAGCGTCGGGCTGAGATGTACAAGGAGGATTCATCCCTCAGCTACGTCTTCCAGCTTGAGAAAGAGTCCGGCGTTTCCACCAGAAAGACCAGCTGAGAGTAAACGAATACTAGGATCCACCAGCGTCCTGGTATCATACTAGTCGAATGGTGGCAAAATTTACTCTGATCCACAAGAGCCGCGACTCTGCCTGTGATGGTGACGAACTGGGGCAGACTTTAGCCAGGCTGACCACGGGACTCCAGAGAAACACAACGGATAAGCCAGCAAAACTCCGAAAAGTGGAGAGTATGCTGGGGCGCGTACAATCAGTGAGGGCGGGCTGTCCAAGTATTCAAGTGTAAGCTGTTTCTAATAAAATTAAATCACTATGATAACTGAAAAGGAAAAAACAATCAACGCGAGCGAAATGTTGGGATTTATTTCGACGAGAGAAGAACTGAGCTCCATTTTCGATTGTGTCCTTATAAAGAAGAAAAAGAAGATACTGAAGACAATGAGGACAACGTGGGATCCCTTGTGCTTCTCCTCGAAATTTCTGAAAAACATAGGTTAGAGGGGAAGGACGAAAATGATGGAGAGGAAATGAGCGGTAAATAGCCAAATTTAGTGCTGTCCTATGAGAATCGTGTCTGCGACGGTGGTGTTTAGTCCCTGTAAACAGGACTTCCGCTCAGATGCATAATACTAGTACTTGAAGATAAAACCGTCGAAGAGTTAGCTGAATAAGAGATTACTTGTCAACCTCGTGTAAAATTATCAGAAAAAGATTACACATTGATTGGTCAGACCGAGGTTAAAGGAAAGTCGGTTTTAAAATATCGTTATGTTTTATACTAGCTGATAATAACACCGACACCTGTAGGATAGACTGTCCGAAAAAAGAAGGCGTTATCACGGGGCAATCACTGTTATCAGCATCAATTGCCCTGTATAAAACAGCATCGCTGGGTGAACATGGCTCATTCGGAAGAAAAGCTCCACTGAAGAAGATTCGGATCGATGCGCGACGAAAACGCCACCTCGAAAACACGAACAACTGCTGACCATCGACTCGGACCATCGGCTCTGATGAAGATCAAACCGTCGAAGCGTTAGCCGAATAAAAGATTATTCATCGACCTCATGTAGTACGTTCCCTTCAGTGGCATATGATTTCATTCTGAGAAAGAGAGAGAGAGACAGAAGCAGAATTGTGAAAGACTAGGCGTGGGGACCGCGAACTGTTACAAAGAAATGATATATCAGTATTTGTTCCAGTTTTGAAGACCACCTGGATTATACGGGTTCCATTTTGGCGTTTGGAAATTGTTCTTTCGGACCCGCGGTTATGACAAAGATCATAGATGAAAAGCTGTTGACATTCCACCACTCGCCGACACTACAAAGCACAAACTGACGAAGGCTAGAAACGGCAAGTTAATCAAACCATGCAGCATTTCCGTGAGCACAAGTGATCAGATCTACACTTTATAACTCCATGCTTTAAGTGCATAATTCTTCAACCATCTAATCGCTTAGACGTGTTCCGTAAAATCTGGTAAGTTGTTTGGTGATAAAACTAGAGGGCAAAACTTCGATGAATACCTTGCAAACTGAAAAGTACTCAAGTTATCTTCAAATTGATTCTGTGAAACCTATGAGGAAACTGAAGTGCAGCATAGTGCGTATATCCCTGAACGCACGCAAGCACACCCATATATGCGTGAATTCGTGGACGTCAACCTGCCAGAACAGACGCAAAAAGTCAATGTTCCGAATCCATCTATGTGTAGGAAAACATTTTTGCCTTCTCCTACCTGGAATTACGCTCTCAACCGTGAATGCGCCGAATGCTAACTCAAGGAAGGCATATTCGCAACTGGGCAATTCAGGCCGAAATAAAAAAATTCATGCCTTACTCATGGATTCGATTGTTACTTGAGGGTTTAGTCTTCCCCACAAACATAACTGAGTGATGGTCGAACTGATTTCGTTCAGAATCTTGAGACAGATCTACATTATCTACGTTTCACTCCTGACAGAGCCACAGAAGCCAGTAACTGGAGCTGACTCTTTTATCAGAAAAGGTGTAACTTTTTTTTACCACTTGACAACGTCATGGTACAAGTCTTTTCTCAAATCCAGGCAAAAATAAACAAGTTGATCAAACAATAAGATGCTAATAAGCGTGCTAAGGCTTGCACTATTTCTTGGAAGGTGAAAACCCACACATCAATACAAGCAATATTTCAAAAAGAGAAAGCGTTATAAGAATACGTTTGCATTTGGACCCCTACACGTTGCTTTCTTCATGTATCCAAAAAACAGACTTTTCTAAACAGTGGCCGTTAATAATAAGTACAGTGTATGTAATAATAACTCACCACATCCAAACGCTCCTAATGACAGTAGAAGAAGTGGATTAGTACAAAACACCGCTCCTCTTATGGCCAAATATCCAGTCATAATTGAGTTCACAAACACAGAAAACATATCCAGAAATCCGAGAAAAAACATGATCTTATAGCAGGGGAAGTTGAGCATATTCTGCCTGACCATTGCAATGAGACAAGGAGCGTACAAGACCTGCAATCGCTCAAGCTCGAAAAGGGAAAGGCAAAGATCAAGAGCCTTAGTGGTGCCGTAGGTAACACGTGAGACCCTGGAAGGGATAACAGTGGTCCGATGTGGTTGGAGGTCCCAGTTTGTCCAAGTTTTGCAAATATTTCAGGAGGCTGCATTTCATGACCATGAAAAATAACAATAGGTGCTAAATAAAAAAGGTTAAAATTACAACATATTACTTTTTTCTTTAGAGAAAGGCAAGAGTCTTAGCAGTGCAGTGGGGTAACGCGTTAGCACCCAGAAACGGTAATCGTGGCCTCATGCAACGCTTTCAGTCATTGAAAGACAAAAAACACATTCTGAGTGAGTAAGAAGCGTCGCAGTCGTTCCAGACATCCTTGAAAAGAATACACTGTTTCCTCTACAGTGACTATAGCAGTGAACTAATATTTCCCATTCGCAGAGTTAAAAAGATTGAGAAAACAAACCTCCAGTAGTATTCCACTTATTAAGAAATAAAAACCGATCGTCCATTGAACTGATCCGGTTTCGTACCATTCGTCTATGGTTTTATTCGAGCAGTCGTACAGAGGTGAATATGGATGGCCGTGTCTTACTGTATAGATGAATGCCATTTGCAGATCAATCGACATTTTATCTGAGAGTGTTAATGCGAGGTCAAAACAATCAGGTTTTCAGTTCAATGATGAGGACCAGGAAAAACTCTCTATAATTCTTTTTAATGAGTGGCGAGAAACGAAGAAAAAAACGAAGAGTCGTCAAACTGCTAAATTTGTTGAAGATTTTCGAAAATCTATGATAACGTCAAAATTTTTGAAGCAGTGATCAAAGGATAAAGGATAAAGCTCTTGGCGTTTATCAATCCCTGAGGGATGCGCCATTCATTCGACTTCACTAAGAATAGCTTGGAGGTGATCGAATGCATATCTGGTCTCCACAATGACTCGCGGTGGTTTACCGATCTATCGAGCCAGTGCTGCTACCCTCCTAGACAGGTCTGGTACCAATTTGCTGAACCCGGAGAGGTGGAACTATTGGTAGGCCATGGACGCGGGTATCGATTTCATGTGTGTGTTGCAGAGCGCCTACGACCACTGCGCCACATGCGCCCTTAGTGTATTGCGAAGCAGTGGCATAAAATATTATTTACAGAAATAATTAGAATGAGGCTTAGTACAGTAGCACGTAGTTTTCTCGGAAATAAGCACGCTTTTGAGGAGAATGAAGTTCTGTGAGAAAAAACAACACCAATACCAACCAACTTTACTAAATGAAAAATAGAAACTCCTTTTAGAATTCGATTGTGATAAAGAGGTAGTGAAAATCTCAATTAATCTAACCGTAACATTTCAGGCAAATTTCAAGCTTGAAAGATCTCTCCGAAGTTGAGAATGTTCTCTCTAACCATCTAAGTCGTCCCTGGTAGCGTTTTCATTTTTGCTCTGAAGAATCTTTTTATTCAAACGAAAACGGCTGAATGACTAGGGTTGCGCTAAAATTAAAGAACACTGGGTGATTTCTGCCGAATGCATAAAGACACTGGAAACTCTTTCCACTAATGAATCTATTGGATTGCTCGGGGATTAACGTCGGATTTCACTTCTGATTGCTCTACTACTCCATGTCGTTGTAAAGCACATTTTACTAACTTTAGTAGTGTCTAATTCGTTCATAATAAGAGTAGTAATTTTTTAAAGAAATTTAGTAGGCTGGAAATAGATTTTAAAACAGCCGCTTCGATAAATTTGCTTCTATGAATCCAAACTTGGACGTAGTGCCCTGGGAATGACTCGATGCGTTAATGAGGCATGGGGCCGGTGAAGTGTGAGCGAAATGCACAAGACAATCTGTGTAGAAATTTTAGTCTGGTAAATTTGACGTCAAAGCAAAGGAGATAACGGACGTCTCTCTGCTATAGACAACGATGAATGTTCGAAAAGTTGCAGAACTCGGTATAAGAAATTCGTTGCTAACTCGGAGCATCTAGACAGAAGTGGAAAGCCATAGAAACTCAACAAATGGATGTCGTGCGAGCTGAATGATCCTTGTCCACGATAAGACGCAGCCACACGTCACACAATTGGAGCCGATTTCGACTAAGATTATTCTGAGTTCATATATGCCATCTTGAACATACACGTGGAAACTTCACATTGCTTTCTAGACCATCTCGGAATTTCGATCATAGTACTCTGAGGCAATTAAGCGTTCATTAACTGCATGATTAAGCTGACGTGAGATTGGTATAAAAACTTCTACTCGGCTAATGTTTCGACACCTTTACCTTCTTCAGCGTCACATTGAACCAAATGTCTACAGCTCGCCATGATATGTGGTTGTTCGTTGTCGTATCGATTCGAATCCGGTCGAGGAAGCATCGCAGGAATGGTTGACTTCACTAAGCGGTGCCCTTTTGCATAAAACGGATGTTGGTCGATTGCCGTTTCCAACATGATCTGTTTTTGGCGGGCTATGCATCCTATAGCAGTCAGCACTTCATTTGCTCTAAAGAAGGCGAGGGCGCCGAAACGTTAGCCGGATAAACGTTTTTCTACTACAGTCGTACTAGCTCATTCATCTAGAAGAATATCGATTACTACCACCGAGCTTTATTGAAAATCGATTTTTAAGACAAATATTTATTATTCAACACGTAGACTTCCACATGGACCAAAAGGGATGCATGCCTGTTCAGTGGTTTACAGAGGTTTCTTGTCGCACTCTCTATAGCTTGTCAAACATAGATGTAGTATCAAGAATGGCTAGCGAAAAGCTTGTTGCTGTCGAAAAGAGTTATAAAATAGTGAGTACGAGCAGTGAAGAGGCGCAAAAAAGACTACGCTTCGAAAAACTGGGATTCGACACTTAGGGAAGGCTTTTCACCGTGATAAAATGACGATGAAATCGTCGAAGATACTTCTTAAAACAGGCTCAGTGATCAAAGAATGTGTGCGCGACAACAGAATTGAACACAGTTTGAGTGCTAAATTGTCGGTAAAACAAGGTTTTCGTTCCCTAGAGTCTGGAAATAGCCATGCTGAAGCTTTCCGATATCTTCATCACAAGCAGTAAGCTGCCATTATGGGGTACAGAACGTTACGTCTGGGTTTCTACCATGATCGCAGTGATTCGTAACCTTGGATGACTCTTAGCTGGGCTTTGGCATTGAAATGTGGAACTGCTTCTCAGATTCCGCTGGGAAATGAACCGCCCTCTGTATATCGCACACTAGAAACACACCAAGCCGCATCATCACTCATTTTTTCCTTCATGGATGATTTAGCTTGTAAATGCTCCTAAGGAAATATGCGACCAATCAGCATTTATTTCACTAAGAGAATTTCACATGTGGCGCAGTCGACGTAGGCGCTCTGCAACATACACGTGGGATCGATCTCCGCACCAGTGGCTCACCAAAGGCTTCCATCCCTCCGGGGTCGGCAAATTGGTATCAGCCTTGTCTGGGAGTACAGCAGCACTGGTTCGATAGATCGGTAAACCACCGCGAGTCATTGCGAAGACCAGATATACATTCAATCACCGCCGACGATATTTAATGAAGTCGAATACATAGCGCATCCCTCACGGATTGATCAGCGCGGAAAGCTTTATCTTTTTTTCTATTTTAAGAGTATTCCACATTAGTTAAACAATTGTAGAAGGAAAAAATAAAAGCTACTTTTTCAGTTACAAAGCAGTAAAGTTAGCTAGAACGTAGTCGAACAGTGATGTAAGAGCAAAGAACCATTCACCAAAGTCAAGGCGAACAACAGTAGCGATTGTATAAAATGCACCGCAACACATCATGGGAAACGATGTTTCGTCAATGATCGTCATTACCGAAAATTTTCGAATACTCTAAGAATCAAAACTCTCTTGTGTGGGAATTGAACGCCATTTCTCTAATTGAACTTTCTACCAGACGCTCGATTGGAGATACTTCCAAAGTAGGAGACTATGGAGCCAAAGGTCGAATCGAAACTCAATTTGAGAATATTAGAAAACTTTAACAATTAAAATTAACCATTTAAATGTATGCATTTTTATTAGATGACGTGCCACTGGTGCCGAAATGGATACGCTCCTGTTCAGTGCTTTACAGAGGTCTTTTATCGCACTTTTGTATTCTGCCGATAGCTTATCAGAGGTAGATATTCTTATATCACCAATGGCTCCTAAATATTTGTTCAACGCGCGTAATACCATATAAAAGGAACCTCTTTTGGACTACTTAACTTTACGGTAAGAGACCATTGTTGTGGAGAGAAGTAAGCAGAGTAGAGGCAGCACCCAGTGAAAACGACGTAGATATTTTTTGCTTGAACACTGTAATTCGACACTTAGGGAGAAATTTTCGCTTGGATAAGATAGAAACAATTGAGAAAAGTTCTTCAGAATGAATCGATGCTTCCGCAAGTGTATTACAGAAAGTTTGCCTTTCGATGCAGTAATCAAGTCACCTTTTCATCCTACATTTGTTATACAACTCTCAACTTAGAACTTATACAGGCGTATTCCACATATAACCGAATAAAAATAAATCACAACAAATAATGCGGGATACCCTGAACAGTTTACCGCCTCATCGTGGCTGGGAGGTGTTCCTGGGTTTGGGCTGTGATGTATAGCGGTGGATTCATATCCCAGCAGTGTCTCCCAAGCTGAGGAGCGCGACGTTCCCATTAGGAAGCCCAGCTAAGAGCAAACCATCCAGGAATCCAGGTAATGCAGGATGTACCGGCGAAAGACGACTCTACCACTGAGCGGCACGATAGATTCGTCAGTACATACAGGCGTGCTTGCTGTGCTGAAGTTCTTGTTCATAAGACCGATTAGCTGTCATTCTTTTACCGCTTGTCTTATCCATCACAAGTTGCGCTGTTGGCAATGTTTAGCACTGCCGACAAGTTTCCAAATCTCGTTTTTGTCAT